AAATGAATATGTAAGGTGAATTAAGAAAGTTGTTAAACAATGGTAAGTTGAGTTGGAATTGGTCCTGTATAATTAAAATTTAATGTTTTTTAATTTAAATCTTTATTGGTATATAAGATTACAACAGCGTAGAAATCAGGTTGAAGCTAGTTATAATATGGCATTTGGTACGTTTTGAAGATCTTCCCATAAAGCAAGGAACACGAAATTGGCAGTATGGAGTACTCTGGTGTTATCTGATTTTCAGTACATAAGAGTATACAAAAATATACTCTTAATAAATAGTAGAGAGTATACAAAAAACGAACAGTAGGCCTTCGCGCAGAGTTGTCTCAGGGTATGTGAGATATTCCTCCGCAGATATAGGTAACACCGACTTTAGCGTCTTGTATTCACGTAATAAAATCACACTAGGCACATAAGAAGAAATGAAGTGATGGGTTAGATAGAATTTTATGTGTCCATGTGAAAGAATTGTTAAATAATTCTTATTATGAATACCTGAGCGTCCCAGAAATACACGGTGCAGAGCAATTAACAAAGAAATATTCGTCACCACTTCCACATAGGCAGACTGCTATGCAATGGTCCTATATTTTCACGTGTAGAAGCCGAGAAAGAATCTTTGTAAAGTGAGAAACTTTGCGAATTTATGCTACTGGAGAGATTAAAGGTTTATGTGTATTCACCAATTCAAATTTTCCTCATAATTTTAACCCTCATAGAACTTTTCCATATTAAAAGTCGAAAAAAATTTTTTGAAAATAAAAAATTAATTATTCATTTTCATTCTACTTACAAATAAAAACCTTAAAATTGAACCTGAAAATGTAAAAAAAAATATCCGAGCAGTTGACCGCTATGTCATAATATCAATGGAAGCGTCGTCATACAATACTAAGCTAAAAATAAAAGATGAAATCGTCATCTTTGCAGAATTAAAGAATTATTTTTTGAAAAATTTTCTCATTCCCTGAATATTTTCGTATATGACATTTGCAAAAAACAAAAAATCCCTTTTAAGTACACACTGCACTCTTCATGCAATTTTTTTTTGTTTTGTTGTGTTGAAAATAACTTTAGTACTTTTGATTTACACAATGAAATACAAAAAATACTTTTTGGTTTTTTTTTTCCAATGCAATTGTATAGTAAGACTATTTAACAAAATAAAAATATTCGCGGTAAGACTCCATGTATGGCCCTACAACAATTTTTATTTTGTGTTTTATTGAAATTTTTACTATTTTGTTGTTATTGTTGTTTCATTTTTCATTTGTATTGCAAATTTTTACGATCGCATCATACACAACAACACTCTTGTAAAGCGTGTCAACTTATATAGGATCTACTATTGTTCTCATACTCGTATGATGTCATTAGTAACGCTGTTTTATTTTTTTTTAAGTGTATATGTGTTTATGATTTAATTCGCTATTTATTACACCATGATTAAGAAATATACATCGGATTGGGTCAGATGCATGTGAAAAACTAAAATGTAGAACAAAATGGTGTTATTTTCGCATGAATGATTTAAGGGGTGGAGTAGATTGGGTGCAAAACTGGTCTATAGTGGACTGATCTATCGCTGAAGAAACTTAGGAATAAAATAGATCGGAAAGGAATGAGAAAGAATTTTGTGGACGAATGCTCATTGTTCGCACGACTCGGTTTATAAGAACACCGGAAGTGTAGGGATGAGTAGAGAATAAGTTCGTTTGGGTCAAATCTCAACATATTAGGACTGTTATGTAGAATTGTTAAAATATTATGCTTACAGATGCTTGTTGTCCATCAGGATATTTCGACGGAGGACGACAGAATAATGGTCTGGAAAATTTATTAAACGTATCTATGGCATGGCTCTTTGGGTTTGAGAAGAAAATTTGTTGGACTTTACGAATGGATAGTTGAAGGCTTCTAAATTTTTATTGAAAAATAGATTTTTTCTATTGGCCGTCGCGTTTAAGTGGAGGTAGCCGCGGCTTCTACGACTGCGATTTTCAGCAGTATAAATCAGTAGTGAGTAGACCTGATTAACATCTACTGAAAATATCAATGCGGAATTTCGTATGTCTAGAGAAGATTTCCACCGCAAAGACTCTTTCTTCCAGTGAATCGATGCAATACGCCAAATTTTCTCAAGTTTTCTCTAGGTCAGCAGCGCCATCTCAGGTAACCATGTTATCTATCTAACGTCATGTTAAGTAATTCGTAAACATTCTTCGCTTCTGCTTGCTCATTATAATAATTTTTCTAAGCCGTCACTTAAAATTTCTTTTGTGTTTGCGAACTCCGAATTTTTATTCCTGAGCATAGATTTCTCTTTTACAGGCAGACGAAAGAATTCCTGTTACAGAAAGAAACTGCCTATTCTTTCTTCATACTGCTATAAACAATGTTCTCTTGTAGTTAATCTTTTGTACCGAATACAATCTGAAAAATAATGTTGTAATTTAAAAGAATTCTCCATATAGTCTTTAATCAAAAGAAAAAAAATTGAAGAACAATTTTTGTTATTAATTTTTTTTTGTAATTTTTTGACAAAACAAAAAAAATAAAAAGCAAAATTAAAAATTTGCATAGTATTATCTACTTTGACTGTATTTACATAAAAAATTAAATTTCTATTCAATTTTCTTGTATTTTGTATGTTAATCCATCCATCTCATTTCTTCTGACAGTTTTATAAAAATGTTTTTATAATATTCATGTACATACCTACCTACATACTTATGTACATATCTGCATATTATTATTTTTCTATTAATTTCTCTAACATAATATTTTTTTTTATTTTTGTTGTTGTATTTTGCAGACAAATTTGATTTTTATGTAGACACAAAAGTTATAGAATTTTTGTTGCAAATTACAATTATTTTTGTTGTTGCTCTTGTTATTGTTGTTGTTGTGTGTTTGCTCTATGTTTTATTGTGTTCTTTTGTTGTGTGCTGACATCTATCATGATCTGTTTTGTGTTTTTCTTTATTTTTATTTTTTGTTATCGTTTATTTTGGCAGTGTCTATATGTGGAGATTTTTTGAAAAGAATTTTTTTTTTGTTATTTAATGATTAAGATTAAAATTCAAAATTAAAACAATAAAAAAATAAAATAAAATAGAGAATGCGAAAAGAAAAAATTTTTGTAATAATTAAAAAAGGGAAATTATATTTTACACAAAAATAAAATACTAAATAAATAAAAAATATATAAAATAAATATAAAATGAAATTTAAAAATATTTAGTTTACTTTTAAATCAAAAATAATATTATTGAAGAAACTTTGGTAATGAAAATTTAAATTAAACTTTTGAGAATGACTTTAAATTATGATGACATAAGGATTGACAGAAGATCTAATGAGCTGCAGATACTTTACTTTTGCATTATAATATAAATTCGTTTGGAAATTGTTGCAATTTCAATAAAGTTTGTCTAAATGTCTCTAAAATGCTCTGTTGTAAGTTACGCTCATCGGTTCTTCTCTATAATCTCAGACTGTTTCTTGAATAAAGATAAACTTAACAGAGTTTTTAAAATCTGGGTGTTTTATTTGACGGTAAGTTGACTTTGAGGCAACACTACGACTATTTGGGTTCCGTTAAGCGTTATACAAAGAACGTCAACGTCAAAATAACTTTGTTAGTTGCTTTGGTTCGGCCTTATCGGATCTCATTCCTGCCATGATCATATTAATAGCTTGGAGGCCTCTCCCCCCCCCCCCCCCCCCCATACAAATATATGGAGTTGCTGATATTTTGTCCATTTTGCAGTTGTTTGACTCATAATATGGATATTGTATATGACGAATGTAATATAGAATCTCAGTTGAATGGTGTCAGTCATTCTCGTAATAATGAAATTTTTAATGTTCCATCATACTTGAGCGTATTCAGCGTATTCAGCGTATTTGTATTGAGTCTGTAGACAGCATTTCTTTTGTGCTTTTTACACTCTCTGTGTCTAGAAAATAAAATTTATTTATGGAAGAAACGGTGTGAGAAGCATAATAGAAGTGTTGTGCATACGCTCAATCCATACACGTATAAACAGACCTTATGTGTATAGCTCCTAATAGTTAATTTAATTCCGCTCAATTTAATTCAAAAGTGTCAACATTCTAAATAAGTAAATTATGTAGTACCTAATCAATAATGTAATTCTAATATTTTAAGAATTATAAACCTGTGATGATTGTAGATCTAATTAAACAAAATTTTTATACGTTTGTATGTAAAAATACAAATTGACCGTGATATACGAGTATTATTTAATATACGTAAAATCAACAAGTGTGTACGTACTTGTTGCCCAGTAAAAAAATAAAAATAATTTTTTTTTGGAATTGTTCCAATTAAAATATTTTGTTTGTTTTTTTTTTTAAATTATAAAATTTTTTCGACTATTTAAGTAGGAGACACGTCGTCTAATCCGATTATGGATGGTTTATATTGACAATTTTGATATCGATATCGATATTTGCGCGACAATGCGTGAACTTACGGTTTGATACCTGAAAGAAATGTTTATATTTAATGGCGAGCTACATATGCTGACACCAATTGATTTTCAGTGACTCAGTTCGCTCTGCTTTTTCTTTCAACAATAATTTCGCCTACTATTAATTCAAAACCCCCATATAATCATTGTCGGAAGCTGATCATCTCAATTCTTAGAATGTATCTTGCACTTTTACTAATGCAAGAATGAATTACTTTCTCATATTTTATTTGCACTATTAATATTTTATTTTTAAACATTATCTTAGTATACGTATATTTTATAAAATAATAATAATATTAAGGGAAATTTAGTACAAATATTAAAAATAAACACTGCTTTTATCTCTTTCTAACATAAAGTTACAATTTGTGTTTTTTTTTTATTTTATTGAAATCTAATTTATTTTCAAATACAAATGCAAAAATTGCAATTTGTATTTGAGAACTTTGGGTTAATCCTATGTTATATAAATTTATTTAAATCCCGACAAAATTCATCATTTTTGTCGCATTCGCGTGAAACCGCAGTCACAGCTAACTTTTCTATTGTCTTCTCGCTATAAGACAAATAATTTAATTTTTTATTTATTTTAATTATCGTTACGTCAAATCTTTTTGGATTTGTTATTATTGTTGTTTCTTTTTTTTCTGAAAGGTAAGAAATAATTTATAGGCGAATTAAGAAGAAAAAAAAATTTTGTTGGCAATCGAAATTTTCGACTGTTTTGCAAAAAAAGAAATCACTAAACCGGTTTAGTGCTTTTTTATATTCGCTACATTTGGGACAAATTTTATTCGTTGCTGGCGCCTTATTTTTATTTCTAAATTTTTGGATTTAGTTCCGCTTAAAAAACCTAATTTTTGAAAGTGATAAAATTACGAAGTGAAGCTATAAAATTACTTAGCATTTTGATATTGCAAAAAGTAGAAATTTCAATAATTGTCTTATTAAAGAAAATACAGAGTGATTTAAAATTTGCTTTCAAGGAATAAAATTAGAAAGCACATCCTCATTGATAACGCGCTATGGGGGTTGAAGATGAAAAAATTTGGTTTGCTTTTTTAGCCGTTTTAGTCTCCAATTTTTGTTTCATATTTGGAGTTATTGGGTACTTAATATATTTGGATTAATAATGCAGAGGAGTTGTGCAAGAAATGACTTTTTTATTTTAATATTTTTTCAAAATTAAAAGTAGAATGTAGTGAAATAAAAATTTATTTTTCGGTTTAAGTGCGCTTGTCAGTTAATTTCGAAAATGTAAAGAATTCTAAATTAGATTTAAAGTTTTCTTCATTCAGTTAAATTTTTCAGAAAATTGTGTAGAAAAAATATTGACGCAAAATTTGAAATCTTTGATTGTTAACCATTAAATAAAAATATTGAAAGCCAAATGTTACGGGTGTTAAAAAAATCAAATTGGGAATCATTATTCGCGTTTAATTGCCTTACCAGTAAGAAATTAATAAAGCAATTTTGTGACGAAATTATCTTCGAATTATTTTAGTTTTTTTGGTTTATTTAAGTTCTTCTTCCGTTTATGTTAGAATTTGCATTAACAATTATTACGTGAAGACAAAAATTCACAGTTCAATTTCTTCTAAGTATCATTTATTAAACAATCGATTCAATAATATCGATTATATTTTGCGAACTGCAGTCTTAAATTTTGAAAATTTTCAACTAAAATGGAAAACTTTCAATTACGTATTGTAAAATTTTTGAATTTTGGGTGTTTTTCGCAGATAAATATTAAATAAAATCCTATCAAAATGTGTGACGATGAAACATCAGCTCTTGTAGTTGACAATGGATCCGGTATGTGCAAGGCCGGTTTCGCTGGTGATGATGCACCACGTGCTGTATTTCCATCAATTGTTGGCCGTCCACGCCATCAAGGTGTTATGGTTGGTATGGGTCAAAAAGATTGTTATGTTGGTGATGAAGCACAATCAAAACGTGGTATTTTAACTTTGAAATATCCAATTGAACATGGTATCATTACAAATTGGGATGATATGGAAAAAATTTGGCATCATACCTTCTATAATGAATTACGTATTGCCCCAGAAGAACATCCAGTTTTATTAACAGAAGCACCATTAAATCCAAAAGCTAACCGTGAAAAAATGACACAAATTATGTTTGAAACATTTAATTCACCAGCTATGTATGTTGCTATTCAAGCTGTTTTGTCTTTATACGCTTCCGGTCGTACAACTGGTATTGTATTAGATTCCGGTGATGGTGTCTCACATACTGTACCAATTTATGAAGGTTATGCTTTACCACATGCCATCTTACGTTTAGATTTGGCTGGTCGTGATTTAACCGATTATTTAATGAAAATTTTAACTGAAAGAGGTTATTCATTCACAACAACAGCTGAAAGAGAAATCGTAAGAGATATTAAAGAAAAGTTATGTTATGTTGCATTGGATTTCGAACAAGAAATGGCAACTGCTTCCGCATCAACATCATTAGAAAAATCATATGAATTACCTGATGGTCAAGTTATTACCATTGGTAACGAAAGATTTAGATGCCCAGAATCTTTGTTCCAACCATCATTCTTGGGAATGGAATCATGTGGTATTCATGAAACAGTTTATCAATCAATTATGAAATGCGATGTTGATATTAGAAAGGACTTGTATGCCAACAATGTATTATCTGGTGGTACCACAATGTACCCAGGTAAATTATTTATTTACTATAATTTAAAAAGAATATTCAATCAAAATAATTATATTCGCTATTATAGGTATTGCTGATCGTATGCAAAAAGAAATTACTGCTTTAGCCCCATCAACTATCAAAATCAAAATTATTGCTCCACCAGAACGTAAATACTCTGTATGGATTGGTGGTTCTATTTTGGCCTCATTGTCCACTTTCCAAACTATGTGGATTTCAAAACAAGAATATGATGAATCCGGTCCCGGAATTGTTCACCGTAAATGCTTCTAAATTAATTAAATACATACTACCAATAATAAACGCTGCAAACACCGCCAACGACAACACATTTCAGTGTTGCCATATTAAAATATGTCTTAGGAGATATTGAAATTTTTAAATTGTTTTTTTTTTATACATACGAGGAAAAATTAATGAAATTTTTTAATTTTTATTTTGTAAATGGTTTTTTTTTTTTGTAAATTAGAGTAAAATGTAGAGAAAACAAAGACAGCAAAAAAATTAAAAAAAAAAAGAAAAGAAAAATAGAATAAACGAAATTTTAAATCAAATTTTTAATTAAAGAAAAGTAGAAAAATAAAAAAGAAGACAGAGAAAATTTTTTTTTAACATTTTAATAGCAAATAAAGAATGGAAGGAGACAAGGAACGCAGAAAGCCATATCACATCAAGTCAAATCCTACTTATACGCAATTTTTATTTAAAAACAAATATAGCGAAAAAAAATAAATAAATTTATTTAAAAATGAATAAAAAAATAAAAAAAAAATTGTTTAATTTTTTTTTAGCAGAACTTTAAAGAAAGTTCCGTTATACGTGAATATTTGAGATTTCCGAAATATTTGAGAGATTTTTATTTATTGAACTTTGAAATTTTTGACGGCGACATGGAAAGGTATTTTGTTGAATTTCAACGCTATATTGTTCAGCATAACTGAACGTTTTGGAATGTAGCCCTTAAATTGTGTTTTCGTCAGCAGAAGCATGTAGTGGTGTTTATTTAAATCATAAAGTGCAGTTTTTTTTTTCAGTGTGTTAAAGAACTATTGTGAATTATGCGAGGAAAAATTGCTGTCATTTAATAATTTTTATTTGCTACTTGGCCATATTTTTCTGTATTAAACCATTGCTTTGATGTGAATGACAATCAACCGCAAAATTTTTAAATACGTTCAGTAAATTTATACAATTTAAATATTTAGTTTTCTGTTACAATATTTTAACATTGTTTAAATAAAATATTGAAATTTTTAATAATTTTTAATATTTTTTAATTACTTATTCAATTTTTAAAACCAAAAATTTATATTTTAAAAAGTTTGTAACACTAAAACTCAAAATATTTTAATAAAAAACCGCATACAAAAACTTTTTTACATAATTGCGTCCTAAAAATTACATTAATTTTTTTTTTAAATTTTCATTTAAAATATAAAGTTTTCCATTTAATGGTAAATAAAATTTAAAAAAATGAATTACAATATAGAGATAAAAAAAAGAACAAGTTTTAATGCAAATTAAACATTAATTATCTTAATTTTTTTTTTGTTTTAGTGTACACATTGTTCACTAGAGAGTGTTGCAAATGTCATTATTCTCTAAAAAAAAAAACACATAAATTAAGTTGAGTGAAAGCAATGATTGGTATAGTAGCGTATTTTCCTGTGAACAAGTGAAAATAACAGATCTTAAAAGCTATCTACTAGGATAATTTTAAATTACTTTCATTCGTATACCAAAATATTGCAAATTATTGCATATATTTGGGATGAGACAAAAAAAATTAAAAGAGGCGTTGGTATAACGGTAATAAATAATTATAGTTTTTAATTCCATGGCTTGCAGTCTCGGGAATATAACGAGCAGAAAATTCGAATTTCGAGCGTTCATGTCTTGAGAAGAGGGTGAAGGTGAAAAAATAAATTACTTATTAGTGTCTAGAAGCTGCTAAAGTTTCAGAACCCTCAGGGGAAAACTTTCTTCTACGGAAATAAGTTTATAATTAAAATCTATTTATATGTAAAATTTCAGTTGTCTATATCTTAAAGGGTGTGGCAGTTTTGTAACAGATCCATGGACGGACGAACACAGTAAAATTAATAAGCACTTTTTCTTTCAAATTTTTTTTTGAAAAGTTCTAAAAATATGCATACATTTAATAGAAACAGAATTTTTTAAGTAACAATACGTGAAATTTTTTTGTTGCGTTTAATTTATCAAAAATGAGCAAAAACAAAAACAGTGAGAGGAAGTACTCTGTGTTTTTCTCTACTTTTTGTTCTCTCTTTTTTTTTTATATAAATAATAAGTGATGCATTAATATTCAAGTCAAGAACATTTTAAAAAACAAATTATGCATTAATTTGTTGTGACATCTTTCTTTATTTTTTACTATATTTTCTTCCTATTAGCAATAGAAAAGACTATGAAAAATAAAAGAAACAGAAGCACTTTTAAAAATAAAATGTACTTAAATCAAAAAAAAAAATGAATTACATTGTAACATTTTAACAAATAAAAAAAAGAGAGGCAACACAATAAAGTTTTGTAAAACATTGGGTGCTTGCAATGCAATGTTAACAAAGTTAACCGACTCAGTTTTTTACTTTTTTGTACTCATTTTTATGACACAACTCCAGTCACAAATTCAAATAGCAACCAAATGTGTGTTTGTTTGTGTAAATAATTGTAACAGAACCAGAATGTACTTAAAACATTAACAATTTTTAGACTTTTTATAATAGTTTTTTATGTGTATACAAGTAAAATAGAAGGGAAAAAAATTTTAAAATAAAACTTTCTTGTAACAATTTATAAAAATCCTTTTTTCAAAATAGTAATTTGATCTGCGTAAAGTAAAAAAACGAACTTAAAATGACAGATACGAACATGTTCCAAAGCAAAAAACAAAAAAAAATGAAAAGAGTGTGAGTTTGTACACAATAGTTTTGTTTTTTGTTTATTGAGTAAGTATGATTAAGGAGATAATGAGTAGCATTTGAAAAGCACAAAAAATAAAGAAGAGAGCAAAAAACTTTTAGTTTTGTTACATGAAAAGGATTGGCAAAAACGAAAAGTCTACAAGCAAATGTCTGAAAATTTTGTGCTCATACTCCATTTTGTATAAAAGTTATTAATTTAAATTTATTTTTCCAAAATTAAAATTTGCGAGGAAGTTTTAATCACACTTGTAACTGAAAAATGAGCAAACATACATTTAAACATTTTTATTTTTAATCGTTTATTAAAATTATCGGAATTTATCGGAATGATATACATAACGTACTTTTCAGAACAACATTGTTTAATTTTTATTCCGAAAAATTCCGAATTATTCCGAATCATTCCGTTAGAATTCATGATACAAAAATTCTAAACTTTGAAGGAAAATTTTTTCAAAATTTTGTGGAGAGAAAAGTAAAAAAAGAATTTCAATTCCAAATTCAGATTCCGAATTATTCCGAATGGAGTTTACATTTCGGAATTCATGAATTAGTCAATATATTTTTTTTTAATTTTTTCGTATTATATATAAAGTTTGACTTGATCATGCGTTTTTGGATCAATAAGTACCGACTTGGATCATATTGGATGGAAATAAAAATTTGCGCCTAATGTGACAAGCACAATCACTTAATATATAACACACCACGGTACTCACTTTTCAATTTCACATATAGATTGAAGTAAGTTGTGCCAATAGTTTCACTTTGTATTTGATTACTCGCGGACCTACATAAATATCAATAAAGAATGTTTTCTTCATCTTAGCAATTACTTTGTTTTTAAGGTAATTAATTTAATTTCTAAATCAAGAATTAAGATCAGACATTTCTGCACTTATATTTTAGTGTTCATGCTTTTCAATCATTTACTAATTTTTTACAAATATCTTCTGTTTTGCTATGCAAGTGTCAACTTTAATTTTGTTAATTCTTTTATAACAAACAAATAAATCTACCGCAAAATTGTATAATATATGTATATAAAAAAAGTATAATTAAAAAGGACTAATCGAAAAAACTTCTGTAAGTATGCCATTTTCTTAATGTTATATAATTTTGTTTCTAGAATGAAATGCTTTTTGCTGTCATAAAAATTTCAAACGTGATTTTCATTTTATATTCTTATAATAGTAAAGAAATTAAAGCTTCAAAATTTATTGCACTTATTTTGTTTAACAATAAGAGACAAAATGGAAAATAGAGTCAAACATGTCAGAAAAATTAAATATTTTTTTTAAAGGAAAATAAGAGCGAATGACAAGTCTCTGTACTCAATTTTTAATTGAATACTTGCAAATAAATTAAAGTTGTCATTTTAACTTTAATTAAGTAAATTTACTCCGAAAATTGTTGTTATTTTACTGTGGTGAATTTGCTCTTACTGTGGTGAATATGTTATTATTGTGATGAGATTTCAATTTGAATCTAAAATGGTATGTACCAAATATTTCAAACTATTCTGATTTTATATTAATAAAATTTTGCAATCTTCTTTGAATGGTGGATTTTACACTAACACACCTTTAATTTTATTTAAATAGAATTGAAATTTCTTAAAATGTAAGATTTAAAGTGTTATACTATAAATATTTGAAAATTAAATACATTGTGGATAATGTTATTGCATAAAAATAAATGAAAGACATACCTGAAAATATAATTACCCATGTTGCAATATAAAAAAAAAGGTTTAATACAAGATTTTTGAATCCTTCAGCAAAATAATCAAAAATACAACACAAAACCAAGCAACGAAAAATTCAATAGAATTTCCTTGTAAGTTTAAAAATTGAAGGAAGGTAAATGAGAGGTTTTTAGAGTGCAGAAATAATGAAGATGACTTTTACAATTAAAAGAATACACGAAATACGAATTACGGTTAAATTTTGTGCATTTCATTCTATAAAATGGTATAAAATGTATAAGTGAAGTAAAAATAGACAAACCAGCCGTAAAAATATAACTGAAATAATAAAGTATAAGTATAACTACTATGAAAGTAGACAAAAAGCACCTGAATTTTTCTAAAAATATAAAAGTTAAGAAAATTCTAAAAATTTGTATCGTAAATGCAATAGCCTTCTTTTTTAATTATTGAATTGCGTCCAGCTCATCGATGACAATATCTACATATATCATCGACACGCGGGATGGTATGGAAGTTGTGGTTAAAAAATCATCTTAGGAAAATGGAGGTGACAAATGTCTGTCTGTTGATATTCAGTATAAAGATTGCAAATGCCATTTAATTTTTTGTGTTGTACAAGTAGAAAAGGAAGAATATTATGGTTCGAGAAGCATACAGGCAAAGCAGCTCTTGAAAGAACAGAATGGCTTTGGTAACTGAATATGAAATCATGATTGATTTTTTTTGGAAGATGATTGTAGCAAAACGGTTTATAAATCTACAAATCTTCAGCCAAAAATTTAATTTTTTAACTTAAGAAATATTCAAAAACTAAAAATAAAATTTTAGAAACTAAGAAAAATTTTAAGTACACAATGGACAGATCCCAAAAAGTAAGCCAAATTTTTTTTTTAAAAATTAATTTATGAATAAGATTTTGTTGTTCACTCTTGTG